CACAGACAACCTCTCGTCAATATGCGTTTTCTGCATTGCATAGCTGCCAAAAACGCATAAAAATCAGCAGTTTGAAAATAACGGAAATTATCAAGCACTATAAAGCCCACGTGACCATGCGTTTTTACAGTAAGCCGTTGAGAGTGCATATGCTAACAAAAAGCACAAGATGGTTGTAATTCGTAGTGAACGTTCAATCCGTTGTCTTTCTATACCATCAGAGTTTCGGATCTTACTAGCCCTTCGATTCCCAAAGTCTGGCTGAATTTAGCAGTAGATCAAAACTCCATTATCTGCCCTTAGAATTCCACTAGTGTCATTAACTAATTTACCAAAATTTCCAGCTCCAAGCTTGAATGTAGCAAAAGTTGGGAACGGACTGAATTTCATTAAATTATGAGTTAGGACAGGGAAAATTTCAGACGCTAAATTCAAAATGTCGAGAATTACTTTTCAATTCAGAACGGTTCTAACTGCAGAACGGTTCTAGTACAGAATAAAACTGATAATACACACGGAGGCAGGAAAAGAAAAAAGCAGTAACAATGTGCATTTAATTCATGCGAAAACTTTAAAAAACTAAGAGACGAGACTTTTACAGTTTCACCGTTTTTAGCATCAAAAGCCGTATACTATACAATAAGCGCGAGTAACGCTGTCATGCAAGACTTCGCCTCAAAGCACACAAACCCTTTTCCCTAAACAGCAGCTCCCGACCAGTGCTTGAGAAACAGGCTGGAAAAAATTCGATCTCGTTTCATGTGATAAAGGCAATATGAATTTGTCACTGGAATAAGTCAAAGCGGGGATAGCTGCCCAGCCCTGGGTGTCGTTTCAACGCAAACGCACTTTGTCCTGGGTTAGAAGTGTACCATAAGTCAAATTACTACCATCACCCCTTCGAATTTCAGAACAAATCGTTACGACCAACTATAAAAAATATACCGGGCTAATAATTTTCCATTAGATTCAGAAACAAAAGTCGAGGAGCACAGCTCATCGACATTTTGTTCTGTTTGGCTTGGCCTCCTCGCCACAGTATTCGAGAAATGTTCAATATTATCGATGATCACTTCCTGTATGCTCTGTACCCGGCGACACATCAAATACAGTACATGAAGGACGTGTTTCAACGCATTGAACCATTGGTTGAAATCCAGTCTGCGCATCTGGGTACATAAATTGCCAAGTGATGGATCGAATTCCGACAGCTCGTCATCACTAATACTTTTCAGAACATGCGCCTTCATTATCTGAAAAAGAAAAAAAAAAAAAAAAAACACACACACATAACTGAATGATGCCAAGTGCGTATATATAGATTTATAAGCTATACTGAAGATATATATATTTATATTAATATGTGCATACAAGCTACTTCTGAAATAAAAAAAAAATCAAAGTAGTCAAGCAACTAACCTGTCTTAAAGTGTTTTTCAGTGCTTCAACAATTTCCTGTTGTAATACTTGGACAAAACGATACTCTCGTACACGCAGTAGTCCGATCACAATAGGATTTAACTGACCCTGAAAAGATAGGTCTGCTACTAGCAATGTCCAGTCTACCGATGTTCTGCATCACAGCGGTATTTTAGAAATAAAGGGTCTAAGAGACCGGGAGCACTGGGCAAGATACGTGTAAAACCGACCTCTTGATAAGCAGCTTCATTTTCGTTTTCACACTGACGACCCAGTTCCCTCTGTATTAGTGTTACAAACTCTTCATACAACATTTTTGCAATAACTTTATGCAATTCCTGTAACTGTGAACCCAAATGCCTAAAACAAATTTCCTACATTCAACCAACAAATCAAAGAAATGATGAAAAAATAAGTAAAAAAAAAAAAAAAAAAATAATTGGCCTACGGAGCCCGTGCGAAGATGCGTTTTTTGCATAGTTCCCCGCAGTTTTTGTCGCTACCAGCACCGGTTTTTCCGGCAAATGCTTCTAACTAAACAAATTAAGACTGGCCGCCAGAACTGTCAGGAAACACCCCCTTAAAATTTCAGCTTTCTACCTTTCTTGGCTTCTGAGTTAGCAACTTACTCAGAAAAATTTTCACGGGCCATACATGAGTACCACGCATACTCGACGTCTGGGTTTGAGCTCGTTGAAACTTAAGTGGACGAGGAACATCCTCTTAAAATTACAGTCTTTTAGCTTTCCAGGTACTCAAGTTAGCAACTTACCCAAAAAAAAGTTTTGGCGGGCCCGTACGTGGGTATTACGCGGGGAAGAGCGCGCATTTCGGAGATGGGACCCGTACGTGCATGTAGACTAAGTTCCCCAAGTTTTAGCCCCGTAGCTTTTGTGGGTCCCGACACGAAAAATCGGTACAGACGCGCGGCGCACACACAGATACACATACGCACACACAGATACACATACGCACACACACACACACACACACACACAGATACACATACGCACACACACACACATACACACACACAAACACACGTACACACATATACAACCTCCCGTCAATATGCGTTTTTTGCATTGCATAGCTGCAAAAAACGCATAAAAAGCGGAAGACTGGAAACCGATGCAAAACAAAAATTAGCGGGGAACTGTGCAAAAAACGCATTTTCTCACCGGCAGTCGGTGCGCTAGCTATTTATTACTTAATTGACCAGCCACTGACTTCCAGATGCTTGTTTTTGCAGCGATATTGATGTTAACACGCTCAAAATTGCTGATTCACAAGCTGGTAAGCTGTTAATCCTTATATTCGCTGAAAACTGAATGTCCGATGAGTTACACTACCTGCAGTACTTGTGTATGCTTGCAGCCCACTCATGCGATCCCCTCTACGATTCTTCCCGGCAACCATTACCCACAGTTGTGCTATGAATTAAAAATAAATAAATAAACAATAAACGAATGAATAAACAAGTGTATACACATACGTAAACGTCTAATAAATTTGATTTCGGGTTTTAAACTAAGCAGTTAATATGTAAATAAGTAATTTTTTTGCAACATCTCCCATAAAAATTCGTAAGAACCTGATTCTGCGGCATAACTCGGAAGATACTTCTCATAACCTAGAACTTATGTATAATTTTATGAAACCAGAAAAAGTGTCTGACAAAACATTTGAGGAAACGCTTTACCTAAAACAAACAACGCCACGCAGCTCGTTGTTCAGAACATCTTGCGCTGTTTCAATGCACTCCAGAGCTTTTGGGTAGTCACTTTGATTAAGAAGCATTTGGACAGTTAACTGAGCATCACGCAGGCATGTCATGTCCTAAAAAACCCACATATATTAGCATAAGTGCATTTGTGAAGGACAGTTCTACTTTTGGATCTATAAGGCAGGAAAACCGCCAGTGTCGGAGAAAAAAGGCGGAAAAAACTGAACCAGAGATGCGAAATACAGTTGAAGGGCGCAAACGAACGGCAGAGAATACACTGAATGTAATTAAGGAAGCTCATAAAACCTAAGCAGGCAGACGCATCGCCTAAGCTGCATTAAAAAGAAAACGAGTTCAGAAATGTCAAATCAGTTTTTGAAGCAAAAAAAGCTCAAGAAAGTTAGAATTGAGGAAAGCGAAGCAATTCTGATCAAATGAAGCGACAGCTCGGAAAGAAGTGCCGGTTCGGACCTCTTCACTGGAAACTATGTGCAATACTAATTTACCATAAATCCAGACCACTGAGAGAAATACTAGATCTGAAACTACTGATGATGTAACAGGGCAAACATTTACGCTTCTTGTGTAAAAGTGTGCGCGAACTGAAATTCTTCACTGAGAAATAATTCCCTCCACAAACTGTTAACTGTTTTTTTGTTACAAACTAAAGATACGGATTTACGTGCTATATGTATATTTCAGGAGAAGGAAGCGAAGCCCGACAGAAGGGAAGGAAAACTCTGTCTTATGTGACGCGTGGTACCTGCACACAAAATGCTTCAGTGCAAAAGGCTCGAGTTGCATCAACTTATCTAATGTGAAATGTTTGGAAAAGAGAACTGCTACCATTTCAGAACTAAGTGATGTCAGGAATTTCGGCTCTAAGCTCAGTTTGAACATGGGACCGATTCCCTCTTGAAATAATAAGCAAAACTGGCGACCAGCAGACCAGTTTTAGCAACAAAACAAGAGACCTGAACAGGCTCACGGATTTGAAGACCCGAAAAGGTCAGTGTGGTCCATATGATATGCATATCGAGAACAAATTTTTCATCCAACGGATGATCAACGAAGCGCCATCACGTCTTGACGTGTTGCCAAACGTCTCAAAATCCGAATTTGAAGAACACTGGGACTGTTCGGAAGGTATGCATGGATTTTGCTCTATGTTATTTGATACCCAGACTGGCTGCAGCAGCCCTTCCGCCTCAAGCAAACTGTCCCCATTTTCCACTTTCCGTCACCGACGTTTATGCACTCCACTTTGTTGGCCATCCCAGCAATAATTTTTGTTCGACAATGTCAGTTACACAAAACCAATTTCAGTGCCTGCCAGCACGGTAAAATGCGTGTGCTGCCCAGCGAATTTAGCTTTCTCGATTGTTTAGCTTTCTAAGGTTAGCTTTAGCTTTAGCGAATTTAGCTTTTTAAGGTTTTCCTAATTTTTTTCTTTCTATGTTTTTCTTTCAAACGAACGAAAAGAAAAGAAGGCAGTGTTCTCAACTCTCAGAGATTACAGTGAATGTCATGCATTTATACACTGCTATCCGCACTGCGGCGAGAGCACTAACACTGGAAATTGTTTGAGATCTCTCATAATAAAAAACCGCTGCAGCGGTAGGCAAGCAGGATCTTCCATAAACCTCAAATTACTGTCTGCATACATGTTATGTGAGCAGTGGCAGAGTCAGATATGTGAAAAAATAAAATGTTCCTCCGCTACCCACCCACTTCTGCTATGTTAATCCACGTTACCTGTAATTTTTGCAGTATTTTAGTCTGCTGCTGTCGCGCCTTATAGAGACTTATGACCTTGACCATACGGTGATATAATTTCACATCCACTTTTTTCAAATTCCACCTAAAAGGCTTTTCACAGTAAACAGTGGCCAGAAAGATTCGAATTCAGATTTTTTACATAGTTTTTAGTGAAAATTTTGCAAAAGATCCGATAATTAATTTAAAATTGCGCTCTAGGCATGTAAGAAGGGAAGCATTTCGTAACCAAACAAATTAAAAATTTACAAAGAACACATGTGCTTGCACTGACTCACAGCACTCCTAATAGCTGAGTCAGCCTACATATCGAAATTACTGTAAAATGACGTGTTACATATCAAACAGTAAGTCTTAGGAAACTGGACAATTTTGCAAGACTGAGCAACTAGCTGTAGCTGTCATTCAACTTCTTGCTAAACGCTGCAACAATTTTGTGGAACGAGTCTAACCTTACTAATGCAACTTTTTCTTTTGCATCCGCCAATTCGCCACTCAAACTTCCACAGGAAATAACAGCTTTCCAGAAGGAATTGGACTTTGCTGCCAGCTGATTGTTGAGCCTTGCATCCACTAGATCATGATAAAATTCCAGGCAGTTCTGTAGCACATCGTATGGGCGAAAGTAACGGCCGCCCCCAGCTTCATAGGATTCATGGGGCTGAAATAAAGGAATATAACAATATGAAGCCGACGTGTCAACAACGGCATAAAATCGTCACATCATGGTCGGAATGCGTTTGGAAATCGCCGCTGACGAATGTATCCAGAGCATGAGGATCGAGACCCACTCTCGCATCAAAGCAATTCAAAAACTATAGCTTGGGCATTTTACAAAGATCGCGGTCACTTTATTGGTTTCGGATTATAAATTCGGATTAGTCAACGCACAGCAGTTGCTCGCGTCCGTTCGAGCATCGGTCCGCCATTCAGTTATTGTTCAGCCAGTATTTGTTTTGCCAATTGCTAGCCATCAATCCGTACTACTCGCTATTTCGCTATCATGTATTACATAAATTTGCTATAATTTGCCACGGACTCGCGTATACTGACATAATTGTCTGTTCATTAGCTAACAGTTTCTTGCTTCTGCGTATAAGAGAGGTTTTTTTGACTTATCGAAGTGACACACAAACACTACATAATTTAACAATATGAAGACATACGACGAATCATAGAAATAACAAAAGAACGACGTGGATGGCTTAGCAGTTCATTTTCACTTTATCCGAAAATTCCTGGACGTGACAAGCTTAAGGAAAAATTCCGTATGTATCAACTGAATAAAGGGGTGTAGCATAAATAACCCGGCTTCTCGAAGTACCAACAGTAAGAAAACATAAAAATATTGCGAATGCTACCCATACTATCGATATGAGGTCGCAAATATTACTGAGATGTTGCCTCATGTCAAGAAGTGGTTCTGTTTTTTTTTGTTCCGGCTACTAGCGACTACTTCTACTTCTCTCTCGAACCCTGCACGACTGGCTTGCAGTGCTAAACAACGTAGCGTTAGCCGAAAAAACATGCGCTCGCATATTCGGTTTTCACGTAGCTTTCATTAATCCGTTCTTCTACGGCAGTCTGATGTGCAGGATTCATTTTACCGCCACTGCCTGCACTCGATAAAATGTAGACAGAACGGAGGGTGATACTCGGTGGTGTAAATCAGAGGTAATGTCAGCAAGCTAGATCAGAAGGAATTGCAGCATAACCGTGCTTCAAAGAACACGCCCGTTCTGTTGCAGTTCCTACGCGCCTTAGCTTGATGACGTTGCTGCTACTTTGCAAAGAACACGCCCGCTTCGAATATCCTGTGAAAGTAGCGGAGAATGAATTTTTCAATTACCTGCAACGACTTTGCATCTTCGGAGATGCTCAGTGTGAGCGAAGTACCACTGTCACGACGCTGCCGCTCCAAGAAAGTCGTATACGGTTTGCCATCGACATTCAGGCGGTCTGGCTCACCACATACTGGCTCTAGGAATATTGCTTCGAAAGTGCGCGAGTCAGCCAATGAAAAATGCGGATCTAGTAAAATCTAAAAGTTACAAATAAAACCAAATGAAACAAAAGACTAAATTGGAGAGTAAATGACACAATGTAATTTTACTACTTAGAAAATTTGACAAGGAAATTCGGTAAAGGAAAGTGGATGTAACCGTCCCCTTTCCATCCTCCCTTTACGTCCGCTTCCCTTTCCTTCTCTTTTCGCTGTCCCGACTTTATACTGCCAAACAGCAAAGTAGTCAAAGAATGGCACTGAAGTTTTCTGTGAACTGTGAGAACTATAAAACTTAAAATATATCCTCATCCATATTTGCTTTAGCAATCAGCTGAAACAGTGATCTGGCAAAGTTTCTTTGTTATCTTTTACAGCGTTTTTTCCTAAACCGGATGAATAAAAGTCGATGTAAAAAAAGAAATGAATAACTTCGATCGGTATCAATGAGCTCTGACTTAACGCAATAAAAGATAATTTTGCAATTGAAAGGTGGATAAAGAAACACAGCTATTGCTATGGGACTTTCATTGTCATTGCGAAAACAAATAAAGCTGCTATGCTCCTACGAGTTGTAAGTTAAAGAAGAAGAATGGGAAGAGCTACGAAAAAAAAAAAGTAAAACAAACCGTGGGTACATCATCGGCGTCAGTACGTGTGTCTTGTTGATGACGTGCTAAAGTGCGCCGGAGTTCACGCTTTGCTCTCAAACACTGTCGATGCTTCTGTGAAAAAAACATTAAGGATCAAGAAAATTTTTTGGGTTCTGGTGAAGACAAATTCGAAAAAAATCATTCAAAAATAGCAAAGCTAACAATCCTCGCAAAGATAATTCAGTCGATTGCGGTAATTCGTAAGAAAAATTAAATAAGAGTCTAAATTGGGGAATTCCGAAAAAAAAAAAAATCCTTGAAGAAAATGCAGAAGAATTTTACAAAAAGGTATTCAAACAACACCGATGACATTTTCTCCGAAAAATTCAAAAACCTCATTTCTGGCATTTCAATTTTCAAAATTTTATCATTTCGACTTCAAATATCCAAAAGACGACCAAATACATAGACAAACAGATCATTTTAATTGAGGCAGAAGGCCTTAGACAAAATGAAAACCGAACAAAGGAATCAAGAACCTTCGCTGTGGTTTCAAGATATTTGTTGAAATAGTCTGGTGGCACGGTCCGCAACAATGGAGAAGAAGGAACACGGTTTTTATGAACAAACGAATCACCCCAGTGCCGCGTGAAAAACGTTAACTGCTCGCTGCGCAAACGTTTCTGATCCAAAAGCACGGAGGATAAATTCTGCGTGAAACTGAAACACACAAAATAATCAGTTTCCCTCAAAAATTCATGTTTTCAAAGAAAATTTCCATTTTATTATCTACAAATGCAGGACGCAGAGGAAACACCATTATAGATAACAGTGCATTTTTTTCAGTGACACAATGTATAGACAGCTTTACCATCTTGCGCAAGTTTGAACTGGTGCACACACAACGGATATACGCACAGACTCTGCTGCAGAAGGGTTAGGACGAGGAGACCTGGATTTTGTATCGCTTCGAAACAAATAAGGTGTCTCTGAAGACCAGGAACAATCGTGAAACCACAAACTTGACGACAACCATGTCTTCAGCAATTCTTGGCAGCAAGAAGGGCAGTTCAGAAACAAAATCAAAAACCCCGGAACTCAGCAAGCGTCAACCAAACGCGCTCCAAAATTAAATCAGTTATATCATACTTACAAGCGAAGAGTGGTAACAGATATGCACGTCCGAAATCAGCTGCTTATGCATGCTATGATAATCGCCCCAGGAGGGCCAGAATCAAAATTTTTTCTTTGATATGTTTTAAAAATCAACTGAGTCACTGACTCATGGACGATATGCGAGACGCCAACAATGCTGGTGCAAACGATTTCGTCCCAAATGCACCAAAAGAAACACTTTTCACGCTCTTTTCTCCCCAACTATTGGCACCAAGGTCGAGAACATCGTCAGAATTGTCCCGGCGTGGGTTAATGAAGTGCAGCTGGAAGGATTTTTTTACTCTGTGGTGTTGCACTCAGATTACGCCCATGGTCTTAACTTTATTAGGCATGCAGCTTTCTTGGATGCCATAGATGGAGTCATTTTTGAAGCTAATTAACAACCAGCATCGACACTGCAATGTGCTTTGCCCATCGAACCTCGTGATCACAATTATTCTGAATGCCGATCATCTGACGAAGCACTCGAATGCTTATTTCTTCACAAGCAATTTTCCACACAAAAAATACTGCAGATTTTAGATATGGGAAAGAGAAGAAGGCACCGGGACGGCCCACCATATGGTACTTTTTTCAATGATCAATAGGAATTTTAACATTAAACACGGAAAGTTATTAAACGGAATCCAGGATGGGTGAGGAGGAGGCCAGATGAAATGCCAATATCAACTAGCATGACCACGCTGACGGGAAGAGCCAAAAAAATATCCTTAGTTTTTGGCCAGAAAAAAAAAACTCTGGCATATATAAATCGAGCACCAGATGTTCAGGTTAACCAATTGTTCGAGAAAAATTTTTTTTTTCTTTATTTCGCATACAGCCCCTCCCCTTCCTCATTCCGCTCAGCTATGCCCCATCACAACACAGATGATATGAAAACTAAGTTTTAAAGAACAGTGTCAGTAAAGCGAGACATATAGGCTTCTTGAATTCCAATTTCCCAGCACTTTACCATGCCTGCCACTAACTGCAGAACAAAACGCAGATGGCTGTTTGAATGAAGGAAACAAGAAACA